TTAACACGTAGGCTTTCGCGACCAATATCCCTAATAGCGTTTTTTTGGGTTAGGTCGCATAAATATAAATGTGTCGTTAAACCCGCCACCACCCGACACCGCGAAACGTCATGGTACTAGAATTGTAAATGTTGTAGTGGGTTTACGCTCCAACACACAGCCGGTGTGCTGGACTGGTAGCTCATTGCCATGTTTCGTTAACTTGTGTCGGTGGCGGGTTTAACGACACAATTTTATTGACTCGATCTGATCAGAAAAACCTCTTATGGAAGCCTCATGAACTCTCCCCCATGTATTCTTGATAGGCACCATTACCCATATCACTTCAAATGCTCTGACATCACCATTCCTCTGACCTCGACCCTAAATCCAAGAACCACCTAATCCTCCACACTGAGTGCAGTCACCACAGCCTCTTCACTCCTCATCCCCACTCACCGCAACTCATTACCCCACCGGGCACGATGCGTGACACACAACAGCACATTTCATCTCCCGCTGACATCACTATTGTATCCCTTGCCGTGAGTCGCCTGAACCACCCTATCCCGCACCTCCGATTAGCACGGTTGGCTACGTACGGTGCCAAAGAAGTTCAACGCACATGCATACTATCAAACGTAAATGCACTCCCATTCAGCGTTTGTCAACTCCAGTCCTCGGGACATTCCAAGCTACAGCTTTACATAATTACCAGTCATCGAGTGTTTGCAGTGTGCATGTTCTTAAGTGTACGGTGTATGAATAAACAAGAGTGGGAATCACGAATGTTCAGACCGCAGGGGGTCACGAGGACTGGCGTTGAGAAACGCGACTGACAAACACAAACAAACATGACACTGACCCCTCACCCCTCCTCCAAGACACCCACTTGTCACCCACTAAGGTAACACAACTGCGGAGGGTTTGGGGAAGCCAAGATTTCGTATTCTTTTCGCACCATCAACAGCATAGGAGTCACTATTATTTTATCAGTCCAATTTTTTATTGTGCCATTCCAACACATTTAGCCAGCAGACAGCTTCATTGCCTCAAGTTTGCTGGAGAGGCATGACTATACCAGTGCCAGCATCACTCCTTCAAGCAACCATTCACCTACCAATTTATTCTTGCTCAAAAATGTCACTGGTGTTTTATTAAAGCTTAGCCCAGATTATTGGATTAGTAGGTGCAGACTGCCACCTGGTCCAGTCACCCACCATATAATTATCCCTCAAACCAAATAATGCTCAGGGATGATGATGAAAATGAAGCTGTTGCTGCTGCTGATTATGCTGTCGCTGCTCATGACGATACTTTTGCTGAGCACTGCAGATGTTGTTGCAGCTGCTGTGGACGGTTCTTCCACATGCTTATTTCAGTATGCTCATGATAAAGGTGATGATGATCGTTGATGTTACCCTTGCTGCTATTAATGATGTTAATGATAGCTACCCCTTTTGTATGTATTTTGAACTTCTTTCGCACCGTACGTAGCCAACCGTGCTCGTCGGAGTGAGGGTTTTATACGTGGGAGGATACAGCGAGACCTGGAGAAAACTCGGGTATACGACAAAGTGATAACAAAGATCTGCACAGTTGCCAGTGGCGGATTTGGAGGGGACGATGGGGTTTATTTTGTTTTCATCTTCGTGACTTTACCGAAAAAAACATAGAGTATGGATCCTTGCAGTCACGAAAACTTCAAATTTAGCACCACAAAAATTGTTTATTATTTGACGTTTACCAAAGAAAATACATTTAATTGTGTCATGATTAGTCTAGGATCCTGTTTCAAAGGTTTGAAATTTAGGGACCATTCCTCTCCTAGGACATTTCTATAGAACCGCCTCTGATACGTTTGTGTACATGCTCAATCCGCTTCCATCTCCTCCCCGTGTTTACATGTGGATACTACAGTTCCCAAAGCACTTCGCTGAAGTAGGTCACTCTAGAATGATGAGGTCGTGGCAGAGCTGCCCACCTGTAACCAGTAACGCGTAATGTCTCTCAATTTCCCAGACTGGTTTTGCGCCAGGCAGAAATGTTGAGCCTTTTGTGTCCCCACCCACTTTATAACAATTTGCAATTCCACTTGCTCAGGACCACGAAAGGATGTGATTTACAGCTCATTGCTCAATTTAACATGGACACGTGTCCTTTATTTTCATTTCAAAGCTACCAGGATAGGCAATTTCTAACAGGTATTGTGATGTGAGCAATGGGATCCCAGATGTGCGATTATTTATAACAGCTATAAAAATACATTGTAGTGCACTACTATGGGATCATAACTCATTGGCATTGCCTGTATCACAAGGTATTGCCCAACAGATATAGCAGCCAAGGTGTTGTGTTTACTGTATTGGGTACTAATTTCAAGCTGTAGGTGGATCACATTTTATACATTTATTTTCATTATTAAATAGGTTTGTGCTGATCAGGGATTTTTTATTCACTTCCATATCACTTTCAGTTTGCGATACATGAGGCATGATAACGTATTATTTCAACATTGTATAACATTGGGGCCATACCTGCGATATTGCAATACGCATGACAACCCAGTAATTTGATTGCTTGGATTGCCCAGCTAAAATTACCTGCCTATGAATAAAGCTGTCCCTTGTTTATGCTGTGTAAACTCATTATCTAATCCTGTTCTTCAGAGACTTGGAGCCATACGTTATTGCATTGTACATATGAATGTTCCGTGGGTATTCAATAAATAAAACATGAGGCAAGGCTTGACAATGGGCCAGGTACACAAAGCATTTTCTTACTTCTAATCAGCTCACTGAAGGCAGCGGTCACTCGCCTTATTAAAATGTTTAAAAATAAAAAATCTTGATCCATGTTGTGCCCCACTTTGCAGTGGCATATGCCTGCAATGCAGCTGTGTTAAGGTGGTTTCAGTGGATTGTGCAGATATCACCCACATGTGTGAGAGATCCAGCCGCTGGCGCTACGAGGTTCTCCTTTTAAGGCAGTAGGGTGAGTATGCTGCCAAGCCCAGCTGTGCCATTGTTTGATAGCAGTACTATCACCTTGTATGCACGAGTTTCCTCTTGGGTACTCCCATTAACTCCCACGGTAAAACAAACCATCTCAATAAGCAGAAATGTCTCTCATTTTGTTTAGCGTGCTGTAATGAACGGATTTGCATTATGCGTTGCTTTTGAGCCGTGTGGGTGTAAAGCAATTTAGAATTATCACGAGACGTGGACTGCTAAACCACAACAGGCAATCTGATTTCACACCAGTTGCCTATGCCTTGTGAAACGGGGCTTATTTGTCTTGTTCAGTAGTTACGAGATATACGAATAATGTTTTTGAATGACAGTACCATGTGTCATAGAAATTATTATAGCCTGGGCCATTCGTCGCTTACATATTTACATTAAAACTGTATTTGTTGTTGCTTGATCTATAAGTAGGTAAACTCTTATTCGATTTATTACGTAGGATATAGTACAGTGTCCACATATCGGATTTGCTGGTGACTGAGGTATAGGTGATTATGTGAAAATATCAGGTATATTCTTGGTTCTTTCGGTAAAGCCACGTAGAAGGGAAATAATAAAATAATAAAATAAAACATCATAAGATAAAATTCTCACGACGTTTCGGCCACAACGCAAGCAGCCGTCCTCAGGCAAAGAACAGGGCTGACGGAAAGACAGCGTCCTAATGACAGCCCTGTTCTTCACCTGAGGACGGCTGTCGGAAAGACAGCGTCCTAATGACAGCCCTGTTCTTCACCTGAGGACGGCTGCTTGCGTTGTGGCCGAAGCGTCGTGAGAATTTTATCTTATTATGTTTTATTTTTATTATTGTATTATTTTCCTTCTACGTGACTTTACCGAAAGAACCAAGAATATGAATCTATGCAGTCACGAAAGCTTTAAATCGAAAAATATCAGGTATGTGAACATATCTAGAAAATGGCAGTTATACCATGCACAAATACTGCACTGAGTGAGGGTGGTTAGTTGGTCAGGGTGGATGATGTGTGACGGTGGGATATGTGATGTCGTGCTGCCCCATGCCGACTTTTCAAGGACACCTGTAATTAGACGTGGGGAGTATATATCATACTAGCTTGACTACCCGGCTTCGCCCGGGACTTGGATTCACCACGCCCGGCCGCCTTTGCCTCCCCAGTGACGATGTTGACACACCACACCACTTACTCGTTTGAGGCTGAGTTGACCTAGGGGAGGCCCAGGACCGGTTCAAATAATCGTCACCGGCGGTGGCCGTGAGTGGGAATGAAACTCGGGTCGCTGGGTTCGTAGCGCAGCGCACTAACCGCTACACTACCGCTCCCCCCCCACACACACACACGCGCGCGTCCATAGGTACACATACACGCGCTTGCTGCAGACACACACAACTTTGAGGGTGCGAACGGCAGTAAACGACTGAAATAATTAAGCAATGCTGCACGAAGAACGCCTTCGACCTGCAACACATTTGTATTTCACTTTACCTGCGGAGGGTTGGGGGGGTGACATCAACAGGCACACTCCGTTACGCTTCCACATATGGGTCACATGGCAGATGTGACGTCACAGCTCACTTGCCGTGCAAAATATATGCATTATTGAGCTCCCCCCCCCCCCAAAAAGTCTATTTTTTTAATTTTTGCATGGTGTAACGTCGTATGCTATTATTTAATTTATTTTCTTTCTACGTGACTTTACCGAAAGAACCAAAGAGTAATTCCTGCAGCCACAAAAGCTCCAAATCAAGTTACAATGAAAGTTACACCATGACAACATCCATAACCAAAGCAGTAGATTGACAAAGGGCTGTAAGTAAACCAATAGAATGTTAGAGACTGCTCCCATAGGGAGCAATCAAAGATAACAGAGAATTTTGATTTAGGGGAGTCAAAATGTATCAGTTTTAAAGTAGTGGCATCGTGGCCCCTGGTCAAGGTTAATGTATGTTGAACTTCTTTCACACCATACGTATCCAACCATGCTAATTGGAGGTGCGTGCGTCTGTGTGCGTAGGTTATACACAAGCCCGAGCCGCAAGCCAACACGAGATGGGGATGCCCTGGAGTGGAGCCGCCGCGTGCTCGACAACCCGAGCCCCAAGATGCGCGAGGCTACGCTCGCATTGGCGCGCCGCCTAGAGAAGGGTAACCAGCACTGCAACACCACGGCTACACCACGGCTATCCACCATGGCTACAGCACGACGGGGGCATGGCTTACGCACCACGACGCAGCACACGACCCGCCGTGCGCGCACCAGCAAAGTGACGCGTTCGTTGCATGCGCCGCAGCGCAGCACGCACACCGCGACACGTCAACACAAGTCGGTACTTGGTGGAGGCTACCTGGGACAGAAAACAACGGTGCAAAGCATTTGGATGCAGATTGTTCAAGCGTGAGACCGGTTTATCGTAGAAACTCAGTTAAGAGGCAAGTGATTAAATGACACTGAATTGTCCCAAGTTCCTGAAGCGTAGAGAATTTATGAACATTCTACCAATCAAGTGTAAATTCACGGAGCATGACATAGGAATTTTGAGGCACAGCTTAAATTGTGAGGATTTAAATACAGTATAAATAAGCTGTAAAAAGCTGATGTTAATATTTCGGTAAATGCTGTAAAACAAGCTTAGATCAAAGTGTGTCCCTCCGTATTGATAGGAGACAGTAGTCAGCCTTGGCATAAAGCTCACGATATGAACAGATTCTGATGTAATTTCAAATAAACCTGAATGAAAACTGGATCTAGACTATTTTAAGTGACTTGTACAGACTTATAAATCGCATCAACATTGGAGCTGGGCCATTCTCACAATTCTTAGCCTGGAGTCATGAATCAATTCTTAGAATGCCAACGGATTGAGGGCATTGTAGGGGGGGCCCAGACTGCATGCAGCCTGGCATGGCACACAGGCAAGAAGAGAGCCTTGAAAGGAATGGCTCATGTCTAGGTAATATGTTGCATTGAGGATTCTGTCTAGATTTGAAGTTTCCGTGCTTGTGTCCTCCCTACCCCACACTCCCACCCTCCCTGTCTCTCCTCCCTGGCTCCTACCACCCCTTCTCTTATCTATATGGCCTCTTGTTACAGCATCCCTTTTGCACACTTCAGCAATTGTTTATTTTTTCGATTTAAAGCTTTCGTGACTGCAGGGATTCATCTTCTTGGTTCTTTCGGTAAAGTCACGTAGAAGGAAAATAATAAAAGAATAAAAATAAAACATAATAAAAATAATTCTCACGACGTTTCGGCCACAACGCAAGCAGCCGTCTTCAGGTGGAGAAGACGGTTGCTTGCGTTGTGGCCGAAACGTCGTGAGAATTATTTTTATTATGTTTTATTTTTATTCTTTTATTATTTTCCTTCTACGTGACTTTACCGAAAGAACCAAGAAGATCAATTGTTTCTTGCTGTGGTTGTCCCACCTGATGACGGACGCTTGTGTTGCGCCCGAAATGTCGTGATTTAATTTATTTTATTTTATACCTACGTGACTTTACCGAAAGAACCAAAGAGTTGAGGATTCTGGTTAATACTAGCCAACCAGAATCAACCCTGATACCAGCTGGTCAGATTTGTCATAGCATCCGTGGTACGTGGCATCAGAATGTGTTCTAAGCTTCCCGATGTTGCTGTAAATGCGTACTCTGTGTGCTATGTGTAAACACGAGCATTGGGAGACCAGGAATGTGATGCTGCCCACACTACTCCCTACAATTATAAGACTAAACAGAGGAACTTTTATCATTGTTGTGCAGCAGTTAAAGCTACCAAATGTCCAACTTTGACTGGGAGAGTCACGATTTCAGAAGGGTTGCGAAAATTGCGACTTTTTTTCCTGGTAATAATGTTCTGGCCTCGTGCTTGGGGTTGGAAGAGGAGTAGGCAAGGAGCAGTAACCAGGACCAAGGTCATAAGTAGTAAAATGTTACTGTGTGGGCAGGAATTGCGCACGAGCGGGTTATTAAAAAGTTGGTTGCGCTGATGGAACTGCCAGCTCGCCAAATGTCCTGGTTAAGTTCCCAGAAGTTTTATGGTAACTTTACGTGTATTTCCCTCCTGTGTGTGAGTGCAGCCACCCGCAGGCGTAGTTGGCATGGCGATGACTTCAATATCCCCAAACTCCCATCGGACATAGGGAACAACATGCTGGGTCGCCGTGGTTACGGGTCCACATTCACTCTCGCCTCTCCGGAACTAGTGGCTGTTGCAGACACCTTCTCCAACACAACCGTCTCTGGGGAGATGGTTGCTCCAGGAACCAGCAAGCGGATGGGCCGGCTGGGCAGCCTTACAGATGTGGAGAGTGTGGCCAGACAACAGGAGGAAGGTGTGACTCATCAAGAACACACACACACATCTCCTGTTTCTATGGACCTTTTATGTATGTATGTTGAACTTATTTTTCACCGTACATAGCCAACCTTGCTTATCGCAGATGTATTTAAATACATATTCGGAAACAGGCCTGGGCCCAGCGCCAACAATCCCACAATTGCTCGCCACACCTGATACATAAATGTAAGCTGCTTAGCTCTACGATTATTTGTATCACACGTGGTTCGGCATGATGTCCGACGTTTGGGTCTTTGTGATTTTTCAGGAACTGTATTGGGGAACTGAAATCAGTTTGGTACAGTCCGAAAACACATCGGAGAGCTATACAGCAGACCTGTAAAAAACCTACGCCGTAACAAAGCTGCTTGGCCTCAGCCTCTTCCACTTCATAATAATTATATTTATATAGCACCTTTCATCGAGGATTTCAATGCGCTGTACAAGACACAGCAGTAAACACTCAGCTTCATACTTTTGACTCACAGGAAACCTCCAGCCCTGGTCCAACACATGTAATGTTTGTGTAAAGTGAAAGTCTAACTTACATGAATATATCAATTGTGGGGTAGTAGTGCAGTCGTTAGTGTACTGCACTATGCGTTCAGTTCCCATGCACAGCTAACATCAGTGGTAATACCTGGTCCCGCACTGCCCTTCAACAACCTCTACTTCCCAGCATGGTGAAGTCTGATCAAACAAAACACCATGACTGACACAGCATGGGGAGGCCTCCATCCAGCAGCGGATCAACAAAGAAGTGTAAATTACTATTTTTTATTTACATCTGTCCTGCTGTATCTTCCTCGGCTCACAAACCCCGCTTCCCAGCTCTGCGCCTGGAGTGCTCCACCTCCTCGGTTTTTGCAACGCGTGGTTCCTCCCCGTCGAGGCACGGCCTCGTGTCTCCATCCAGCCAGGAGTTTCCCTCAGGGGTGCCGGTGTCGCCCCATCGCTCGGCCTCCACTCCTCGCGAGCCGACCTCCCGCGGCGATCCCAGCCGGGAGCCGGCTCGCACCCCAGGGCTCGATGTGAGCTCCGACTGGTCCCGTTCCACTCGGGCTCAACGAGAGCATGTCTCCTATGACACGACCCCTCGTGAGCTGGCTCGTGACCCAGCCCCAAGGGAGCGAGCCCCAAGGGACCGAGCACCGCAAGATTTCATCCGACGTGACCGCAGCATGAGTGAGTCCTTGTGTCTTAAACAGAATCCATTATTGATGAGAAAATGTCACTCGAGATGCATTTTCTCAAAAGACAGGCATCAATACCAATTGTGTGTGTTGCTGACGGAAGATACCTGTACTGTTACAAAAAATGTTTATGCTTTATTTCAACAGGCCCCTCCCTCCGACATCTGCGGCCACCCTCTCTCCAGACAGCAGTAAGGACCCCGTCACCTGGACGGCCCATAAAGGCCACACCTCTCCTGTCACCCCCGGCCAATGGGAGGTCGAGCGAGAGGGAAGGACGGAGCTCCGTCCCAAAGTCGCGCCCCTCTCTGATGCCTGGAGCGACCTCTGGTTACCCTGGCAGCCATGGAGCCCCGCTGTACCCTCCTGGAGCTGCTATGCTGGGTGCAGTGGATGCCTCACATCTCAAAGTGAGGCGCTCCAATAGCCCAAGTGCTGGGAATATCCCAAGCGATGCATCCCGTTCCCTCCGCGACAGGCAAGCCAGGAGCCCCGCACGCAACTTCGCCACCGTCGTACCACGAGGGCGATCAGTGGGCCGGGTCAACAATGTAATCGCCGTTGCACCTGCGGCGACAGGAATGGGAGGCGCTGGGGCCAGGCGTTCTGCGAGTCCTGCAAATAACTTAACGAATGGCGGCAGCCTTGGTCAGACGAGACTATTGTCCGTCTCGTCACAGCACAACCCAGTTCGCGACGGCCAGATGCTGAACCGTACGTACATGAGGAGCGACGACCGGCAGGGCGGCCGCGGTGCGTCGCCACACGGCACCCACCAAGCCGCGCCGGTGAACACACCGCCGCGCCACGCCAGGTCTTCACACACCACGCCGACACGCGCACCGCAAACGTGCGCCACGCAAAGCCGCCCCACGCAACCTGGCGCCGTGCAAACACACAACCGTGGCGCGACCGGCACCCGCCGCTCCTCCAGCCTGCCGCGTTACGTGGGGACGGAGCTGCGTGTGCACAAACAAAGCTCGCAGAGTCCTACTGCCGTGTAGCCTCTCTGTCCAATTCACACTTCGAACGACAAGACCATTTCCTCTTCCATCGCCTCACGTGATGCCTCACCACTCATTATGCCCTCTGATGTTGCAACTGTTTAGCTACTTAGCCTTGATCAGCCCATGCTCATAATTTAATATCTTACCTTTTCTCCTAGCCCCTCTTTAGTATCCATTCTAGGACAATGTCAACTTTGGGGCCACCAAGCAGGCATCACTACTTCATATGGTCGGGCACCTATAGACAGACCCTGAGGTTAGGTGTCAACTATACCGCTGCTACAAGATCTGGCATGATGAAATAAGCGATTGTGAGGTGTGGTAGAACCAGCGGCATTGACTGAAGACTTCTTCCACCTGAACCTGTCTCCCCAAGGAGCTGCTTTGAACCGAGGGATCACATGTGAAGGCACTGCTGCTCACAAGGAGCCCTAGGGGCATACAGGCCCCACTGTTCCCGAACAGGATTACCACTGGTCTTTCCAGACCCCCAAGCCATACCTAAATCAATCACTTGGCTTCGTATTTTTCCTTGAACTTAACGCTTTTTCCTTAGGCGTGCATTTTAGTTGTTTTATTGCTGTATATAACCTTGTTAATATACAGAAGGGCTGGGCTTATACATAGATATAACTTGTGACACCAAAGTTTTTCGTGGACGTTTACAACTGCGGCCGTGATGCCAAAAGCTGAGGCGATGCAGTCTTTATTTGCAATAGCCTTTTACATTGTACATTTTAAATCCTCTTCCCAGCGCCCAAGTGCGTGCGATCAGCATGATGCTGGTAGTCGAAATTGAGACCGTAGGAAAGAAGTGCTATACCCTCTCCTAGTCCTGCTTTAAGGTGTTTTACTCGTGGTCGGTGGCATTGTGACCCCGTGCTAGCGAGTGCTGGGGTAGTTGTTGCATGACAGGCAGTACAAGTGTAAGAACGTAAGCAGGTGCTGACTGTATTTTGAAGTAACACTGCACTACAAGTGTGCCTGCTGTGCTAAATATCTTTAATGTGGAGAAATATATGCAGACTGCCATGCATACCATTTTACCCATTGGCAATGTCTAACCAGGTTTTGAGCGAAAAACTTAGACATGAAACTCACCGGTAGATGGGCAGATATCAAACCACGAAGCTCACCTGGTGCTCTGCAAGTTTCGTCCAGGTACTGCGTGACTGGTGTGTCAGGCCTGGTAGTCAGAATCATTGCCTGGGAGAACCCCCACACCACCATGGTGTCCCCGCGCAGACAACTTCAATGTAATTCCCCATGCTGTCACAATGAGTGGCGGAAGGCCCCAGAAGAGCTGTAAAGCCACCACGATGTGACGGCAGCAGGCTCTCACACCCACTGTCGTGATGCTTCCAGTTTGATGCCTGCAAACGTTCCGGGCAGATAACATCGCGGTGGTATCATAGCCGGACAAGACCAGGGGGCAGATGACTTAACAGGCGCAATGCACGGACTGTGGACCATGCTGGCTGTATAAGGTGTTCACTAACAGCACTTACTCTCACGATATAAAAATGGCACTTTGCCATTTTGACTATTTGTTTTATATGTAGGTGCCTGTCAGCAGGGGTCATTCGCATCTCTTCCCAATGTTTAGATGCAGTGTAAAAGTACATGGACATTTTAAAAGGCGATATCCCCGTGCGTTGGTTAGGTGCTCATGAACAGCACTTGTCTCAGCGATCTATAAGGCTCCGTGGCTTATCTTTGTGTGTTTTGGTGTGCGAGTTTAATGTTTGGCTTTCAGATAAGTAATCGTATCCAAAATAACCTCCCTTGAATTATCCGCAGCTCATTGTTACCACACATGCTGCTGCTTCCTATGGGCCAAAGTGTTCTTCTTGTTACATAAAACAATGTTTAACTATTTTTAAATGTTTAAAGCATTCCAACAACCGGAGCAAAGCTCTTCTTTGCTTGAAATGTTTTGATTGCATACTTTTATTCACTACAAAACTGATAATGTATAAACATAGGTATGCATTGTGTATCCATATATTGTATGTGTAGTGGGCCATTTTATAAATACGAGTGAATGTATTCATATAGGTACTATAAACAGTAAATAATTAAAGTAGACTAAATAACATCATAGTTCTGTCATATCATATACTTTATACACTATAGTACTCTACTTTTTAAAATGTTAATTATATTGTAAAATTAACAATTCCAAAATATATTGTTTACTACCTTTTTGCCCAGGCAAACTGTTTTCTAATAATTGACATTAACGTCCAAAGCATATTCTCAGAGTAGGCCACCTCTGGGAGTTGGTTACTGTACTTTGCAAGTAAAACATTTCTTTATTCTTTTAGAGAAGTTTTTAAATGTTTTAGTGTCATTCTAATTGTGCTATTAGCATCACGTGATGCGAAGTGTCCATTTGGAACTCTTGCAGGAAGAACAGTGCCTTGCCCCACGTGAGAGCACAGGCAGTGATATGACATTACTGCTTCTGAGATACCTTAAAGTGACCTCTTATCCACACGAGGGGTGCTACACTGTCCAACCTTCTGCTAAAGAGATGTTCATTTGCAGTCAGCTGCATTTTTCTATTTTTAGAGCAGGAATTTAGCCACATGAAGTGAAGAATGTAATTAAACGTCAGATGGTTTTCGTGTGCGGTCGTGACTGGGTATCGCCTCACAAAAACTTCCAAGGACCCATTTCTTAATTCCGCAATTGCAGGTGGCTGCCCCAATTCAGACCCTGAATTTCAACGATGCGGGCTCAGTGCTCTGATCTCTGTGCCGCCTGCCCACCTCTCACATTTGTCAGTGCATTTACATGGAGCTCTTAGTATTTAAATGCTTAAAGGTTTAAAATTTGCGGAGGAAAAAGTTATTGTGGATATCGGTGCATGTGGTGATTACGGAGGAACCCATTTTCAACAGCGAGTCGACTTTATAACCGTGCCTTTGTCGGGATGTGCCTCATTTCTGTAAGGCGCAACCCAGCATACTCGTTTAAGTGGCTGCTTTGTAAGTGTAAGCACATCAGTTACACCTCATTTTACTGTGGGATGCCAACAGCAAAATTCACAGTTGCTGTCTGCTTTTAATTACCGCCTATTCATTAAGTGTGCCTAAACAGTGCAGTGGACATGGAGCTTTGCCAGTGGCTGGCTTCTATACACCTCCATATTCACACATTTACTAAAAATAGGGACTGTTTTAAAAGCATCAACAAATTTGCATTTAAAATATTACATTGCCTTTAGGGTTGCAGCTTGGGGGATAGTGTTACTCGACATATGCCTTGCATTTGCAGATGAAAGTCCATGTATTATCCCCTTATTCCTCTATTGAAAGATTACCGGTTTCATAGCACTGCATTTACAGTATGTATTATAGGAATTCCATTTGTTCATCCAGGCAACCCACCGAGTCTTTAAGGCTTTCGACTTTTAGGAGGATCCTGTATTTGGGATGTTTAGCAAGGTGACATGTGGGAGGAAACTGGATTACCTGGAGAAACCCCCACACAAAGGAGAAAACACTCAAAGGCTTTGGACACAAAGAACCCATCCACTTGCTGTACTGCCATCTCTGGCCACTGAACAATTGTGAAATAGCTTTATAGCTCATCGGATTCCTCTATTATCAATCAATATTCTGATTCACTTTATAGCCCAGCAGGTGTGGGCAGTTCATCAAATGTATGGGAGCCACCAACCCTCTCCTCCAAAGCACCGGACTAAAGGCATTGTACGACAGCCTGCCTGGTGCATTAAGTAGGGGGCAAGACTTCTGCAATTGAACCTTATGGCGGTAGCCCGGGGTACCAGAGTATCCCGGCTCTCGCACAATGTCCGTGATGCAGTCATTTTTAGTCTGTTGATGGTCGGCGATGCGGCAATCGACTCATCTCGACGAGCTGTACACGATGCTCCGCTACGGTGCGTACCGCGAGCGTTCAGGGTTTCAGCGCAATCGTCCCCGCTGCGTTTCGACATTGTGGAGTAGCACCGATTTCGAATTGATTGGTACCCCAGTCACGGAGTTAAGTAAACCCCTGGAAAAACTCGTGTCCCAGAAATACAATATTTAATTGCCTCGGCTAGTTTGTATGATTTGGTACCCTGGGGTACCGCCATAAGGATCAATTACTGCAGAACATTGGTTTACTGGAACTGCATTGTCAAAACTAAGTTAATTATACATATATAACAATAACTATACATGTGTGTATCGAGTGTCACCAGCAGTTGTTTGCTCATAGATGCATAATGGGTTATACATCACCTATTAACGTTTGCGAGCTAATTCTAAAGCTGACATAAACCGATCACTACTCATGGATAATGAAGGAGCAGCTGCCCCTCACCACCACGATGCATACACCACCAATTCTCTTATCTCAAACAAATAGGGTTTTTTTTCTGTAACACCCAGTGTGCAGCACTCGTGATTATATGCTTAATGACATAAAAAATGTAAGCAATGATGCGTTTTACGGGTGTGGTTGTCTAAAATTGGTTCTGGATAGTAGCAATACAAGACACCAATGCAATGTTGTCCTGCTAATAAATGCTTTCTGATAGTGCTATGGTTAGCAATTGGTAATGATGCACATGAAATGCAGTGAAGCCAATCGTTGACATGATCTGGCAATTGTAGCTTCATGAGCATGTTTACCGATTCGTACATATTGACACATTTTACAGACCGTGTTTACATATTGGTGAGGATACACTTAATGCACTGTTATATGGTTTTCAGGTACACTTTTAAACATGTGTAAGTGCCTGTTGCATGTATTGAACATGTATTGAGTGCCTATGAATAAACTCTACTCATTAAGAAATCAGTTTCTGCATACATCTCACTTGTCAAGTCATGAACTGCTCATATGAACACATCAGATTGCACAATAATGACGACTTTAAATGACTACAATGTGGTTTCACCAGTTTTAATAGCAAATGCTTTGTTACTGGTTCTACTGGGTAGATCCCAAGAATGTAGTTAGTGGCCCGCAGTTGTATATTTTATTCAGAAGACTGTCATAAGTTAACCAAAAACAAGTACAGTACTTCAATACAAGGTTCTTTGGAAGATTTAAATGTAAAATAAGAAATTAAAAGAACACACATTTCCATATTCACACACTTTGTATAGTGTTGTGGATAAATTTCGAGTGAAAAACATTGTGGCCATATATTTTATAACAAAGTACGCCACATGCTGTACATGGCGGTACACATGCTTCCACGCGCGCAAGCAGAGCAGATTTTTTTTTTAAAATAACAGTTGCCGAGCACAGGTCAGCCTAAAATTCCAAGCGGCAAGATGACAATTAAGGCAACGCCACCAGTGGAACGCAACCCGGGCTGGTGATGGTTTCTGCCTGCATGTCCCTGAAGGCGTGTGAAAACTTGTTCCTGAGCACGTGGTGCGTGTGTGCCCACTTGTGCGTGCTGCACATCTGTGCCGAGCGCGCCGACATAGTGTGTGCTCAGCGCATGGTGAGCCCGCGCCTGCAGGTACAGCACGTCGCGCACGCGCGTCGTTTCTCCTGCTATCTGGTGGTACGTCTTTGCTTGCTCCAGGTTCTCCACGCACTTCTCCATCCCTGTGTGAAAACAAGTGGGGTCAAGAGGAGTTATTTCTTACATTAACAGGGAATTTCTGCGGTGACTGGATGATTCAGGGGACAACTAGCTATCGTTCGGGCACTGCTTGCCATTTTCACAGAACACCTCTGCTGACCTGAACCAGTGGGGGTGGCTGCTCTACAACCCATTTGGGGTGTGGACACACACCCCAAATGGTTAAATATGCACAAAACAAGTTTTAAGAGATGGGCTGATGTGGTACATACAAACGTATGCTGAATGGACTCGCTAACAACTGGTACCAGTGGTGTCATGATTGGCCTCTGTGGAGGGGACTCGAAAGATGGCAACTACCCTCCAGCAACAATGGGAGCTGGAGGAGTTATTCTTAACAATGAGCAGAACACTGCTTAGCTAAAAAGCAGAAAGTTGGCAGTGGGCAGCACAGGTGGTACATTTGCCAGTTATCTTACTCAGTTAACCCATAACATCTATGTCTGTCCTGTGCCTTCCTGCCATTGAGTCTTTGACACATCATATGGCCTCATCTAGCCTGCCAATTAGTGGTGAATGGCAGTGTAGGGTGCAATTGACGTCGGGAGTATGTGGTTGTCGATTAGTATGCTAGTGCTGCAGCTGCCGCGGGCCTTACACTCTGGGGAGGCGTTGATGTTGGAGGCGTTGATGTTGGAGTCGTGTGCAGTGCGTGACAAGGCGGCCTGCGTCTGGGCGAGTGTCCTCAGGGCACGCGCCCTCTCACACATGGCGCCATGAGCCAGGATTCCACACACCACTCCACGCACCAGGGCATTTGCCTGTTCCGCCTGGGACAGCAGCAGCTGGAATACATATGATCACGCACAAACCGTTAACTGAGCACTTACACAACATGACGACAAGATCACGAAGCACGAGCACAATATCGCCTACTACCCTTAAAGGATAACTAACCACTCCTATAGAATCAATGATCACTTACACAACATGACTGATGGTCACACAGGATTAATAACATACACAAATTAACCACTGGCAGGGCATCACGAACCACTCTACGAGTATCACTATATACTTAAACAATTCTAGTACCCACTCACCAGAAATTACTCACAAAGGATCATTAACCAGTCACAGTATAAATAACAAACTGCACATGCATGATCAATTACCACTCGAATGGTCCCTATGTCACACCATTTATCATTTGCTGTGCACTGCATAGCTATAAATTGCTTTAAAAGATTATGCAGGATTTTCTATACATGATGATAGCCTAATACCTTATCACAGCAGCCCGCATGGTCGAATAAAATTGAGTTCTCAGGATGCTACTAACTGCGGCGTGTTATATTTTGTAAACAAGTGGTATTCATTCTGGAACAGATTCACAATTATTACATCAATGTTATTGGCCACCAATGCCTTTATAATCACTATCTGTAGGCACCCAAGAGTCTCCCCCTGATGCAAGCTGTATTGCTGCTGTGTGGAGCATCTCACAGCTGAAACAAGCAAGTCTAAAACAACGCAAGTCTGAGACTCGACATGTGTGCTTATGTTTCATGCCGAAACTTGTAAACAATATATAAATTTAATTGATTAAAAATACATGTTATTTTATATAGCATGTATTGGATGAAAACTATTTTTTTTCGAACAATTTTTTTGTGTTTAGTTGATTGTCTTTCCTCCGCACCTCCGAGTAACATGGTTGGTTATGTACGGTGTGAAACAAGCTCTACATACATAAAACATGTTTATCAAACTATATTAGTGTTAAGCAGATGTAGCAGCATTTATTAATAAAAAAAATCTACGTAAACAAGATCTCAGATAAGACCTCAGGAAAGAAGATTTGAATTCAGTTATGCTGCCAAAAAGGCAATGCTTAGCCTCACAACAAGTACGAGTTAAAGAAAATTGGTTTAAACTACTTGGTAAAGTACATTGACGTGTAATGTAAAGTACAATCCTTTATCAATCCATTACTGAATAAAGGTCACCCCCTGGTGCCCATTGGTAAACGGGTGCCCAGAATCAGTTCACATATCATTCACCACTGGTGATGGCTGTTGCAAGAATCAAATTTATGGTGCTGGGCTTATAACACCGTGTATGAACCATAGTGCCGCCACTGCATCCCTGTCAGCCTTGAGACATGCTTACATGCGATATATCGAATAGAACTGACCAACAAAACATATCAAAAGTTTCACATTTCATAATAAAAAAAATTATACTGATCATGAACGGTGACACCACTGTGTACTATTCCACAACACGATAACTGCTTTGTTTATATGCCTGTGGTACGGAGTGCTGCATGAGCACATTCTCTATCTGCACCGCAACACGCATCCTGCATACTACACTGGTCCCTGTATCGGACCGGAGGAGCATTATTAGCGCCACAATATATGGGGATCGAGTGCAATAATAACGCCTTACCAACAAGGAATAAAAGTAAGCTTACTGTCCTATTACATTGTGAAATATCAAACAAGTGCTGTAGAAAGGATAACTATATCTCATAATTGGGTCTGTATAGCTATCCTGTTACATGAATTGTGCAAATGTGGTCCAACAGCTCATATACAATAGCAAACAAATTACATTGTTTAAACTGTGCATGAATAAAAAAAACACGTGAAAGAATGTACTTATCCCCAGTGAATCAGCGTTGGGGGATTAAGCAATGGAGCCACTGGAAGTGCTTGGGTCACTCGCCTGCAGGTTAACAAGGTAAATGGGAGTATAATAATACGTTTTTTGACCTACCTGTGCATATCAAGTGTTTCCCCTATGTGTGGGGTTTATTCTATATAGTGTGGCTTCCTCTTGCACGAACCAAAATTACATAAATATTGAGCAAACACAACACAGAACTCAGTTAAGGTGTAAGTATGAGTCAAATACAAAAAATTGGAAATGAAAATAATTGTTCGTATTCTCAGTTATGTTGCTAAATTCAACAGTATTTGTCATGAAGAACTACAATAAATAATGTAAATGTAAGAATATGAAACAATTGTAAAAAACACGATCAAAATATGATTGTACGTGCATACAAAAACAGATGGCTCCACCAATTTTACCATGAAATTTAGATTCCTGAAGGTTGGCGGATTGCCTACCTGGTTGTATGTATTTAGACAAATTCATAATGTAATGAATTCTAATTTGAAAATCAGTATCCAGACTCTATTCGCATCTCTGGTAAACCCTAGAAACTCCACTGATCATGAAAACATGACCACAGTGTGCCCTGCAGCCCATACCTCATAAGCATAGCATGTGAGTGTGCAGGGACGCACAACTGCACCCGGGCACATCACAACCACACGACGCCACAGCCATGCCTACCTGTGCGTGTGCCAGGCTGACAGCCGCGCTGCTGAGCAGCCCGTGGGCGTGCTGAGTGCGCGCCTCCTGCAAGGCTCGCAGCAGCAGGGGCACGGCGCGCTCGGGGCTCCCGCACGCCACGTGCACCTCCCCCAGCGCCAGCAAACTCCTGTGGATTAGTGCCGACGTGCAGCAGGGAGATAAAACAAACTCCTGTGGATTAGCGCCGTGCAGCAGGGAGATAAAACAAACTCCTGTGGATTAGCGCCGACGTGCAGCAGGGAGATAAAACAAACTCCTGTGGATTAGTGCCGACGTGCAGCAGGGAGATAAAACAAACTCCTGTGGATTAGCGCTGTGCAGCAGGGAGATAAAACCATCTCCCGTGGATTAGCGCCGACGTGCAGCAGGGAGATAAAACAAACTCCTGTGGATTAGTGCCGACGTGCAGCAGGGAGATAAAACAAACTCCTGTGGATTAGTGCCGACGTGCAGCAGGGAGATAAAACAAACTCCTGTGGATTAGTGCCGTGCAGCAGGAAGATAAAACAAACTCCTGTGGATTAGCGCCGACGTGCAGCAGGGAGATAAAACAAACTCCTGTGGATTAGCGCCGACGTGCAGCAGGAAGATAAAACAAACTCCTGTGGATTAGCGCCGACGTGCAGCAGGGAGATAAAACAAACTCCTGTGGATTAGCGCCGACGTGCAGGGAGACGGAAGAACTACTGCAGCTTCTGAACACAGCGCTGTTCTGATGATTGTTTCCAAATTTGGTTCCAATCACTGTGATTTTATTTTCTTAATTGTATTCCAATTTGTGCCATTGGCATCATGTCATGAAACAATAAAGCATTCTGATTGATGCATCGCAATATCATTCATGATGGCCCTTCTAACTCAGCTC